GGGAGACATGGAGAGAGGAAAGGAAAAAGGAATCCGGGAAATGGAGGGAAGGTGGGGAAGAAAAAAAGGAGAGGAAATAGAGAGAAAAGAGGAGAAAGATCAGTTTGGTGACCTACGGAAGAATTCTTAGATAAATTACTGTTAATGCATTTAATAAAATATTTGGTATTATAATGGAAAGCAATTTTACTGAAACCAAAGATATCCAAGACAACAATCTGTGATTTTTGTTTGTTTGTTGATTTTTGGTTTTTGGTGAGGAGTTGTATAACATTCCTGGCTCACCTGGAACCCACTCTGTAGACCAGGCTCCAGCCTAGCTTCTCTGCCTCTCAAGAATTATGATTAAAGGCGTGCGCTACCACTGCCCAGCCTGTGATATCATTTTATACATGGTTTTTTAAAATTGAAAAAGTAGCTGTGAGGTTCATGAGGAAAAATGTGAATAAAACAGACATGGAAAGAATACAGAGAAAAGACAGATTAGAAATAACAACACAGATGCACAGTTTTCCTAGAAGATCCATGGTTAGGTAATTAACGCTGTGCTCTGGGGCCATCCTACAGAGATACCCTTCACATTCCCTCAGTGGGGCTTTGGGTATCTTTTGATGTAGGGGTAACTTACAAATTTGTTTTGCTTGAACAAACTCTTTCAAGTAAATATATATAGTCACCGTTCTACCATTACATAAAGTTTTTGCTAGGTTTCTTCTGAAACCACATTGGTGTTCACTTTCTCTACTTTTATCAGTTTGGAGTTGGTCATTGTCACTGAATATTGTTACCTATCGTAGACATATTTTCTAGTTAATGTCTTTAAAAATGGAAGCCCTGCATTGTGTTTTGATCCCATGTACCATTCCAGTGCTGTTGCTGCACTGTCATACAGGTCAAACACGTTAAGGAAGCATCTGTCAGTTTGAAGATACAAAGTTGAAAAGTCGTATTATTTGTCCTGAATCTGGGCATTTAAATTGTCAGTAATTTACAGTAAAAAGTTCTATGACAATCAAATAATACTCCAGTGTCTTCAGCACACAAAACAATGGCCACCACCTGTATGAGACTTCTGAGTAACAGAAATGTATCTGGTATGAGAGAGGATTTACATGTTTATATTTAATTATATTGACTTTATATCATTGGTTATTAACATCAAAGCATCTCCTGGCTTGGGGAGGGGAGTGCGGCAGAGGCTAGAAGGCAGTCCCCTGTGATTGGTATGAGCTAGTGAACTCATGAGTCTAAATGTTTTAGGTTGATGCCAAATGTATTTTTTTTTTTTCTTGTCTGGCCTGGGTTTTCCATTCATCCTAATTTTGTTTTTGAGGCTCTGATTGGTAAGTATGTGGCATGAGGACAGCTTCATAGACCAGGCAGAACCTCAGTTTAGACATTATATGGGGGTTTTGTACTCCCGTCCAAGCAGATGCAGATTTGGTAACCCTCTGTGAGTTGGTAGCCTCAGACAAGCTACCCAGTCTATTTAAACATTGCATTCATCATCTATCAAATTAGTGTGACAAGATTGCTTTCATTGTATAATTAGAATGAAATGAACTGAATTAAAATTGAAATTAAACACCTTTAAAGAGGTTAGTATAGTATCTAACACTGTTGACAGTCACTAAATGTTAGGTAGTATGGACATTATTTATAACTGGGGTAATTTTTACAATATTAAGTAGGTCTAATATTAGAAAAATCTGATAGACAATATAGTTGTCACCACATAGAAGACTTTTTGTATATCTCTATATTTGCAATATTTTGAGAAACATATTTTGAAAGATTCCAGAATAACTAGACTAAAACAAACATTAAATTATCATATTTTTGTTAGCAAACTTGTTTAATTTTATGCTACTTCCTACTTATTAAAAGAAGGTTTATCTCCTCTTAGTGGAAAATTCTGTCTTCAGCTGTCAACACTGCTCATGACGATATTCTATTTAAATTTAAAAGGGCACAGTGATTAGAGAAGTAGCTTCAATTTAAGTTTAATCCAAATTTAAATTACTTTAAAATGGTCAACGGATGTGCTCAACACGTATACTCATTAGGTATCTGTTTCTGAACAGTCAGGGAAATCAGCTCTTAATGATTCTGCTGAAATGTCTTGGTTAGCTGAACTTTCCCCAGCTAATAAATTGAGAGGTTACCCTATGATTCATCTTTGTATGTTTAAGTATCAGCACCTATCATATTCTAGAACATTCCTGCCTTTAATCATTTGCTGCTAATTTCATTCTTGTAGAGTTGCTCATTAACAGTCTGACCTATATATGCTCATGTTTTCTTCCACTAACAAGAAGTTGTTATTTTGTGGAATATTTATGTTAAGAATATATTCTACTTTATTTGTCAAGTTATGACATTATTTACAGATGATCCATTAATGACTGTCTGCCTTAGGAAAATGAGCAGTGTTATATTTTACAGTGATATTAGATATTTAATTCAGATTGTTTGTATCTCATGATGATTTTACTTTTGATTATCTACTGACTCATGGAATGAAAGGATAAATATTTTAATGAAAATATATCTCTGCTAGATATCATCTCATCACTGTAACAAAATACCTGAGATTTTAAATTTTTTTCTTAATTTTTAAATTTTTTATTTTTCAGTTCTGATGTTACAATATTTAAAAAAGTATTTCTTTTATCTTTGACATAAAATAGAACTATCTATTTTCCTCCTCTTCCCTTGCCCCTGTTCAAACCTTCCCATACACCCTATCCCTCGCTACTCTCTTTCAAATTCAATGACTTTTTTATTAGTTGCTATGTAGGTGTACATGTGTGTGAATCTACATATACCTACACTCCTAAATATGTAAATATAAATTTCTTAGTCTGTATGTATATCTTCATGGCTCAGCATTTGACATAATCTTCCCTGGAGAAGATTATTTCTTCCCCACTCAGCATTCCTTAGTTGCTTGGTTGCCTGTAGTTCTTTGTGTGGAGTTTAGCCTTTGTGGGCTTTCTCATATTCATGGTATCATGTCTTTTTATTTTTTATTTAATTAACATTTTTTTCATTTATTTTACATGCCGATCTCAGTTTCCCCTCCCTCCTCTCCTCCTGTTCCTGCCCTCCCATCTATCCCCCTCCCCATCCACTTCTTCTCTGTCTCCTTTCAGAAAGAGACAGGCCTTCTATGGGCTTGAACAAAGCATGACACATCAAGTTGAGGCAGGACCATGCCCCCTCCCCCACCAATATCAAGGCTGGGCAAGGCTGGGCAAGCATGGGGAACAGGTTCCCAAAAGCCAGCTAAACACCAGGGACAGGTCCTGATCTCACTGGGAGAAGCCTTACAAACAGAACAAGCTACATCACTGTCCCACACATGCAGAGGGCCTAGGTCAGTTCCATGCAGGCTCCTTAACTGTGCTTCCAGAGTTCATGTGCTCCCAAGAGCTCAGGTTATCTGTCATGACCTTGACCCTCCCTGGCTTATGTGATCCCGCCTCCCTTTCTTCAGGAGGACATTAGTTTTTTTTTTTTTCTATTGTTATGTTGATAAGGGTTTATATACACAGCTTTTAACATTCCTGGGAGATACACTCTCACTGCAAAATCCCTGTCCTTCTGGCTCTAACAATATTTCACCACAATGATCCCTGAGCCTTAGGTGAGGGAATTGAATTGTAAATGTGTACATATAAGAAGTAAGGAATATACTTATCTATGGGCATAAGAGAAAATACTTAGAATGTAATTAAGGATTATGTGGATTTGATAAAGCAGTGATTCTAGGTTCTCCTCCAAGATCCACTAGCCCTGGGTAGTTGGCTGGGTTGAAAATATTTGTGTGTGAGTGTGTGTGTGGGGGGGATTTTGTTTTGCTAATGGTTTCAAAGCGCTCAGTCAGTACTAACTCAGTCTTATAGTTTTTAGGCCTATGTATGCAGGGCATACTGGCTATAGTATGTGATAGAGGAATTTTGCTCACAGTTGTGATGGCCAGGAAGGAGACAGAAAGACAGGGAGAGGGAGAGGGAGGGGGAGAGAGAAAGAGACTCTCAAGGATACCACAACAATGAATTCTAGCCTGCAACCATACCCCTATTCCCCTATTCTTCAAGGTAACTTCAAATGGGAAGCAAACTTTAAACAAGTGAGACTTGGGACACATTTCAGATATGAATAACAATTTAAACATCTCAGAATTCTAGAGAACCAACATCAGACCCAAGATCAGGAAAGTAAGCTAGCAAACAAGTAAGGAACTATAGTGTTTCTGTCTCATGATGACTTGCTACTTACTCTTGTTATGACTTGTTTCTCTTGTTTCTAGCCAGTATAAGGCAGTGCATGGCAGCTGTAGTCACTATCTAAAATTCTGTGCTCAACTTTCATACTCTAGGCACTCACTTTTAAATGCTCCTGAAGCTAGAGCTCTTCTGTCTTCTATTTTTTGAAAATAGGTTCTTCTTTCATACAATATATCCCAACTACAGTTTCCCCTCCCTCCACTTCTCCTAGCTCCTCCCCTCTCCTCCCAAGACCCACTCCCTCTCTGAGTCCTTCAAAAAACAGCAGGCCCCCCAAGAGACTAAACAAGATACACCAAGACAAGGCAGAAGCTCTCCTATTGAGACTGGACAAGGGAACCCAGTAAGAGGAAAGGAGTCTGTCTCAAGAGCAGGCAAAGGAGTCAGAGAAACACCTGCTGCCCGCAATGTTGGGAGTATCACAAAACACCAAGCTAACAGCCATAACATATACACAGAGGACCTGGTGCAGACCCTTGCAGGCCCCAAGCTTGCTACTTGAGTCTCTGTGAGCCCGTGTGTTTCCTGCTTACTTGATATGGCTATGCCAGCTTAGAATGTTGAACATGAGGAGATGCCCAGGTGGGTGGATGCCTCCTTTGCCAGAGCTTGGAACAGACTCACAGCCAGGTAGAGTGAGTTCAATGACTGAGGTGAGATACCTCAAGGGTCTCATAACGCAACTCAGAAGACTCTCCCCTGACTTTTGTACTTGCGTCAGCAGCACATATACTAAAATTGGAACAATACAGAGAAGATTAGCATGGCCCCTGTGCAAGGATGACACGCAAATTTGTGAAGAATGCTGAACATGTTTTTGTTTGTTTGTTTCTGAGCCATTTTTACCTGTATTAGATGTGGAGTTGATGAAAATCTTTTCCCATTTTGTCCTATTGACAGTGTCCTTTGCCTTACAGAACTTTCAGTTTTATGATGTCTGTTTACTGGTTGTTGTTAGTGTCTGTGCTATTAGTGTTCAGAAAGTTGCCCTCCTGTGCCAATGTGTTCAAGGCTATCCACCATTTTCTCTTCTATCAAGTTCAGTGTTGAGGTCTTTGATCCACTTGTACTTGAGTTTTGTGCAGAGTTATAAATATGGATCTATTTGCATTCTTCTATACGTGGATATCCAGTTTGACCAGCACCATTTGTTAAAGCTGCTTTTTTTTTTTTTTTCCAGCCAGTGTGTGTTTCTGGCTTCTTCATCAAAAATCAGGTGTTCACAGGTGTGCAGGTGTGTGAATTTACTTCCTGGTCTTCAATTTTATTACAATGAGCAAGTTGTCTGTTTTGATGTCAATACCATGTGGTTTTCATTAGTATAGTTCAGTAGTACAATTTGAAACCAAGGATGGTGATGCCTCTCCTAGTTCTTTTATTATTCACAATTTTTCTTTTAGCTACTCTGGGTTTTTTGTTTTTTCATATGAAGTTGAGTATTGTCCTTCAAGTTCTGTAAATAATTGTTTTGGAATTTTTATGGTGGTTGTGTTGAATCTATAGATTGCTTTTGGTAGGATGGCCATTTTTACTGTTAATTGTATGAATCCATGAGCATGAAAAATATTTCCATCTTTTGATATCTTCTTAAATTTTCTTCTGCAAAAACAAAGTTTTTATTATACAAGTCTTTCTCTTGCTTAGTTAGAGTTAGCCTAAGATATTTTATATTATTTGTGGTTATTGTGAATGGTGTTGCTTCCCTGATTTCTTTTTTAGTTTGATTCCCATTTGTACATAGGAGATGTACAGATTTCCTTTAGTTAACTTTTATTGAGCCACTGTGCTTGAAAGTGTTTATCGGGTTCTTTCAAAGCACTTTGACCCTACACTCTATTCCACCCACCCTGCAAATTCCTTGCAATTATTTCTATTTTCAACCTCTCTTGTTTCTGTAAATTCTAGGAGAACTAAATTTTCTTGGAAAATGTATATATACTATCCTATCTTTTTCATGGAAGTATTATCTATTAGCTCAATTGTTTTTTTCTTCCTAAATCCTATAATACATGAATTGTACTCTGACGAACACTGAAAATATCATGTATCAGGAGCTGAATTACTGATGAATAATGACATTCTCTCTCGAGGTATCCATGAACTGCTGATAGCTCTTCAGTTCTGTGTGAATTTCCATGGGCTCTCCTTTCATTCTTGGAGGAACTTTGGCTGGCTCGATCTTGTGCTGTTCTTGTACAAGCAGTCAGAACTGCTGTTGGTTCTTGTGTGTGCCATTGTTCTCTTTCTACTCCCATAGTGACAACACCAAATGGACTTGGGGAGTTTAAAAAAAGAATACATGAGTATGGCTGGAAAGGTAGGGAGGAAGTGGGAGCTGTTTTGAATAAAACGTGTGTGTGTGTGTGTGTGTGTGTGTGTGTATTTATTACTTTCAAGCAATAAGTAAAAAAATATCATGTTCCAATAAGCTTCCTACCATACCATTTGTCTTTCAAACTAACCATGCTTCTAACACATCTTTCTTTTTTAAAAACATTTTTTGAAAGTTAATTTATATATATGAATGTTCAGTTACATACATATCTCTGCACAATGTGTGTGCCTGGCTACATACGTGGAGGCCAGAAGAAGGCATCAGATTTCCTGGAATTGGAGTTACAGATGCATGTGAGTTACCACGTGGATTCTGGGAATTAAACCCGGGTTCTCTGGAAGATTAGCCAATGCTTTTAACTACTAAACCGTCTCTCCAGCCCCTAACACACTTTTTTAAATACATGTTTCTCTAAGAAAACGGAGCAAAAATCATTATCTATTAATTATTAGTAGCAGTTTTCGAATATCTAATACATACATATTACTATGTAACCCAAAACTTACTGTATATTGAAAGAACACCACAGCTGGTGGTTATGAAGCAGTTATTGATACTAGGTGCTTTTCTCTGACTGTCCCCTTTTATCCTCAGTAAGGTCAGGGAAGAGAAAGACTTGAAGGTAAAGAAGCTAAGTAAACTGGATGACAAATTATGTATGTAGGATTATTTCAATAATTCCAGGATTCGTGTTTTAGCAATAATATTTAATATTTATTTAGCATCACAGAAATCCTATCTCATGCTCTTTCATTACAGCACACCAAATAAGGGAAGCAAGATAGTGTAGTGGAACAGTGCCCTGTGATTCAGGAGACAAGGAAAACATTGGCAGACATAAACAGAAGCAGTTAGGTTTTATTTAAAAATCCCTTTTGGCAAGTTAACATTTCAAATTATACATAAATCACTTTCCACTAATAACAGAAAATACAACTAGCTTTGCAAAATATAACTGAAACCTGAGGTATATCAATTACCGTTATCACATTTATGTATTTTTGGTTGCTATTTCTCTGGTGAATGTGGGGCAATAAATTTTGTGAAGTTGAATGTATTTTAACAAAATAACTCTGCTCTATAGCAGCTAAAAATTCTTGAAAAATAAAATAGTTAAGAATAAACATTCACTGTGAGTCAAAAGACATGCTCACTCTGTTTGGTCAGGGCTCAGGAAAATGATAGGAGACAAGATACTTTTGCAGCATCGAAGAGAGAATAAATTGAGAATTATGATAAGACCCATATGATATGGGATTAAAATTACTTATAAGGAGCATCTGGACTAAAAGTAGTTACTGGATTCTTAGTTTCATGGACTAGAGTTCTTTTTTATTTAATTTTTCATGTTCATTTTTATTGCTCAGAGAAATTAATTAAAAGACCAAGTCCAAAATTTCCTTTGTATAAAAAAGAAATTCCAAATATTTTTGAGTTAATATATTCTTCTGAATGAAACATGCTAGTCAGGCAATACACAGCACACTGTAATTATTTTTGATGTACTTTGTTTCTTTCAATGATGTCATGATTTTTTTTTAGCTTTTTAGAACAAAGTTTTACCTTGTTGATTTTGTCTAGTAAATTGTTTTTAATAAGCTTGACCAATTTAATGAAATTAATTCATGAAGTTTCATGTTCAGGGAAGAAAATTAATTCAAAGAAAAATATAATATACTAAATGTTCTCAAAATATGAACTAAAATATACATATGTTCTTGGGGGCCATTTTATTTGAAAAATCACAAGCATGAGTATAAATAAATTAGGCTGCTCAGTGCTTTCGCATGCACAGGAAGCTTAAAGAGATGGCAATCTAGTCTTTTGTGCTCCTTTTAGTTGTGACAAAAGAGATATTCAGAAATAGGGTAATAATTAGACATGATTGGGTAAATGAATTAGCTATGCAATTTCATAAGACTTCAACTATATGCCTCATAAACTTTGAAGAACTAGGATGTACTAAATTAGTCCTCTACAAAAGGGTTTCCCATTTTTCATTGCAGACATATTGGCCAGTGACTCTACCATGGGGAACTGCTCTATCCATTTTAAGACACTGGATAGCATCTGCAATCTCTATTCAGCAGATTCTTGCATCAGGCTCCTTCTAAAATCTCAATTCGTGACAATAAAAAAGTGTCTTTAACAATTCCAAATGCTTTCTCAAGGACACATCAGTGGTAAGAACTGGAGCTGATAGTGATAGAACAGTAAGTGAGGCCGGACCTTTAGTACTCCACCACCCTGATGGCTTTGAAACTGCCCGTGTCCTTCTGGCCCCCACGCTGGTTTCACACCTACACACAGGCAGTTGAAGTATCTGTTTACTTTAATAAAATTTCTTGCCTCGTATCTCATAAGCTGCAACTGACTTTCCTCAGATCACCTGGGCGTCTGTATCTCAGCTTACTCTCTTGGTTCTTTTTCCTAATTTTTCCTTGAATTAGGATAACACACAGCTTAACTTATGGCATTATTTTTCTGTCTGTCTGTCTGTCTATGCATTTACTGGGATGTGGTGTCGTGTGTGCCATCGCACTTGTGTGGAGATCAGAGGGCAGCTTTAAGGGTTCTGTTTTCTCCAGCACGTGAGTCACGGGGATCAAACTTGTGCTTAGCCGTAGCACCTTTAATTGTGGGATAGGCATCTCGAAGTCAGTACATCGAGGCAAAACACCAGTCTTCTCTTCTATCAATTTTTCACAGTCTCCAAGCCAGTAACTATAAATTATATGCTTTGATTGCTCATTAAAAAGCAAAACAAACTTGAAATCATTCTTGACAATTGTATGAGCAAAATTTCATTTCAGTAGTAAAATAACTGAATTTGAATAACTCTATATTCTGTTTTACTAGAAAGGAAGATAGTGTATTCAAAGGAAAACATCATTTACTAAATAGTTACAAAACTGTATATATCTATTTATATATTTGTATTATATATTACATGTCCTATTGTTATATATGTTATGTTGCTTTAAATATCTCTTACATATGCATACATGAGGCTTAATTTTTATTACATGTATAAAAATCTCAGGAATACCTCAGCCATAACAGAACAGTCAAATGACCATTTCTGGAAAAACAATCTAGGTTACTATGTTTATTTTTAAAAGGAAGTTGATGTGCCTTACTGTTCTTGATATCTATTGAATTATTTCTGGTGATTGCATTCTCATTGGCAGAGTCTATAGCAAATATAGGGCACCACAAGAAAAATAGGATAAACATAAAATATGTCTTTGGTTTTCTCTATTCTCTAGTAAAGCTGTCGATAGCCACATAGTGGCTCTCGTCAGAGACATTCCTTGTATTTAAAATACCATATACTCTCCATTCACTTGTGATTCTCTAGGAACGTGAAAAAAATAATTTAATGAGTGTTATATTTAATGAGTTTATTGATAATTTATCAAAATAACTTTCATATGGCTTTATGACCACAAAGGTAATCATGATTCAAAGTAAATGTTATAAT